TTTGTGGCTGAAAGGAACTAAAGAGCTGTGGGTGTTCGTCTGATGGTCATGAGGAATCAATAGAGACTGTTCAATGAGTAACACAACACTGGTTCAGAACAGGGGCATGGGCGCCACTAATTGCTCTTGCTTTGTTTGCAATTAGTCCAACATTCTGCCGCTAATGTGATTAGGTCACTTCAGATAAAAGAAGCTTTTGGCAAACACCTACTACGGATGGTGTGTCTGACGTAAATCTGAAACCTCTGTCATCCATCAGCTCGCAGCTGCCCTATGAAGTCTGAGCTGAACAATTTGATAAGATCAGATCTGTTTTTTGTTACTTTGACTCCAGCTGCGGTCAGTTGTTGGGAAATGTCAAGTTGTGAAGAAACCGTTAGCAGCTGAAGACATTATAAGGCAATAGTTAATATAAAGAGAATTTTTCAACCAGCCACATGATGCAGGCTATGTGACACCAGAGAATAAACACCAGAGAAAATATAAAACAGCAGCTCTACTCTGATCTACTTTCCATCGCTACACGCAGCCTGTTTTATTTGTGGCTAAGGAGCGGTAATGTTGTAGCCAGTGACACTGACAAAAGTCAATGCAGGAGTTATAAGCTGCTGTAGAATAAACACAATTTAAGCTGATTAATATTAGCTGATGCTAGCAAGCACATACTGCTTATTATTGGTTTATTACCTAAGACTTCACTGCTATTGCCAAACAGCAGCCGGTTTTTAATGCTTAGTTTATTTTTTTGGTCCCAGTTATGCTAAATGTGTAGCAGACAGCAACATTAGTTACCATGTATTTGAAGATCGATCTAGTCCACAGTGGGCCTTCACCAAAGCAGACCAGGACATTGTTTCATGGTCCTTGGGTCTTTTTCATTATTTTGAATTCTAAGTGGATATAGTCGAGTTGGTTAAGTTTTGAATTACAGTTTTGAGGCCTTATTATGAATTCAAATGTAATATTAGGCTTAAATTGTATTGTATTACATCTGTATCTTGTTGATTTTCAAATTCCTGTTAAGACTGCTTTACTGTTCTAGAGGTTTTCTTGGTCATTATTTGGCTTCGGTTCCTATTTTGAATTAAACTTGCTTCCTGTTTTACTCTGATAGTTGTTTTTCTTTTGTGTCTTGTTTTGGATTTGCCTTAACATCTGTTTGATTCTTAGGTTGTTTTTTTTTTGTTTGTTTGTTTTTTTAAATTTCATATGGGGCGATCGTGGCTCAAGGGTTGGCAGTTCGTCTTGTAATCGGAAGGTTGCCAGTTCGAGCCCCGGCTCGGACAGTCTCGGTCGTTGTGTCCTTGGGCGAGACACTTCACCTACCGCCTACTGGTGTTGGCCAGAGGGGCCGATGGCGCGATATGGCAGCCTCGCTTCTGTCAGGCTGCCCCAGGGCAGCTGTGGCTACAACTGTAGCTGCCTCCACCAGTGTGTGAGAGTGAATGAATAGTGGCATTGTAAAGCGCTTTGGGTGCCTTGAAAAGCGCTATACAAATCCAATCCATTATTATTTTTATTATTAAATTTCATTCCGTCTCTCCTTTAGCATCGCCTGGATATTACCAACCACCATACAAACAGATGTGTGTTCAGGGTGTTCCTGCTTATGCAAATTCAGTCATTTAAAAAAAATTAAAAAAAATAGTCGGCCACTCACTTTAGTATTCTGATTTCTGATTTGAAATTTGTGGCCGGAAGGTCATTATTCCTGCTGGACTGTTTTTTGTTTTTTTAAATGCCAGTTTTTGATCACACCTTTCAAAACATAATAACACAGGCTGCTAAAAGCATAAATGCAACTCTAATTCAGAGTCGCTGCAAAATGTGTGGCTCCATTTTAGCCAAAGCAACGCCTCTATCAGACTGTTAAAAAAAAGAAAAAAGGATCAAACTAGAAAATGGTATCCACATATGCAATATGTGATGAGCACAGAAAGGCTTTTTTGTAAATGCCAGCGCTGTTATCAGCTTTCCTCTCTCTGCACACAGTCAGTAAATCACCTGTTTTTGTGTTCTGGTCAGCTTGGCGATACCTTGCACATTATTCTGTTTGCAATCCTTCAGTGAATCTGGGCCACAATGTGCACTGATGCACATTAACAAAGGCTCCTCTCTGCCGTGTGTACCTTTCTTTCCCGTGGAAGTGAAAAGCAGGAGATAGAGTTACATCTAATGAGAAAAGGACTTCACACCCCATTGGTTTTTCTCGCCACCTGGAATCCAGGCCACCGCCACTAAAACCTCAACGGCAAAATTAGGGTTGAACGGGAAAAGGAAAAGTGCTCCGAGAATAAATATGCACGCTCGTCTGCTTTGTCAACAGCAAATTGACAAATTACCTGCCACTGTTCTGTTTTCACTGCGTTCAGGGGATAATTGAACGTTACATGACCCGGACTCCCTTTGCCTAAAAACACATTGAATTTGTTAGCGAGAAAGGGAGGCTGTGATTTCCTCCATCCATCCATCCATTCGCTACCGCTTTTCCTTTTCAGGGGCGCGGGGGGCGCTGGAGCCAATCCCAGCTGTCGTAGGGCGAGAGGCGGGGTACACCCTGGACAGGTCGCCAGTCTGTCACAGGGCTAACACACAAGGACAGACAACCATTCACACTCACATTCACACCTAGTGACAATTTGGATTTTCCAATTAACCTATCCCCACAAACTGCATGTCTTTGGACGGTGGGAGGAAGCCGGAGTACCCGGAGAGAACCCACGCAAGCACGGGGAGAACATGCAAACTCCACACAGAAAGACCTGATGGTGGAATTGAACTCAGGACCTTCTTGCTGTGCGGCAACAGTGCTAACCACCATGCCACCGTGCTGTGATTTCCTGAGGAACAAAATCAGCAAGACAGGAATGATGAACGCTGAAGTAAAAGACCAATTTGGCTGATAAAATGGTAAAGCTTTGCAGTCTGCCTCATGCGTGAAAGTTACTGTCCTGAGCTCAAAGGCACTGGCTCACCTTCACTCCTTTTTTCATTGTGGATTTTCTTCCTTTACTTGGTTAATTGGAAGACAGGCCTGGTTTTTCAAGTTCAAAGGAGGAACTGTTCCTTCATGAGCTCTTTTCCATAAGTAGGAGCTCAGTAAGCTGACATGATTACACAGAGACCCACCTGGACTCATGAAAGCCAGACAGTCCCAATGGCAGTGAGTCGAAGCTAATTAAAAAGTGTGAAGAGACTTGGGTGGCTTTAATGTTGCTTTAACATATTTGTTACTAAAAATTCATTTATAATATAAGTTCTAAAGCCATACTGTTTTATTTATACCACTGTGAAGAAAGTTAAATGCTGATAAAAGAACAAAGTTACCCTACTACAGTCAATCATTTTACCTTTAAGAACACGGATAAAAGTCAATCCGGTGAACGCCTGGTAGGTCAGTAAAGCTTAGCATGTCGATATTGAGCCAAAGTGCAAAACTCAGCTCATTTAAATGGTCCAGCTTTAGGTGAATGAAGTAAATAGACTTACAGTCTTCCTGTGGAACGTCTTTGAACTTCATGAAGGGTGGTTGTGGCTCAGGAGGTAGAGCTGCTCATCTTCCAGTTGGGAGGTTGGTGGTTCGAACTGGGGGGCCAAAGTATCCCTGTGTGAGTTAATTGGTGTGTGAAAATTAGAACTTAAATGCAGGGGAAGACTGTACAAATACATGGACACAATCAAACAAGCACCAAAGCGCTACGTGAGAAACGGTCCATTTACATGCTGAATGGTGAATCTCAAGCCACCTGTCATTTCTTTATAGTTTACTAGGAAAATGTGAAATACCTGTACTGATTTATTTATCTAGAAATGGTCAGGTACAAGGACGGGATGGAACATGAGTGAAAAAGCAGCCAATGTCCAAATAAAGACTAAAAGACATAACTTTACACTGACCACTTTACACAATCAACCTCAATTATCAAAGTAAACAGAAAATAACAAAAAGGCAAGGCTAACACTAAGACATGAAGGTTCATATTAACCCCAATAAAAGAGCAGAGAAGGCACTGGAACACAAATGAGACAGAGGGAGGCAAAGACAGTGAAACACAACATTAGAAGCAAAAGAAAGAATCAACAAAAGGAACCAAAATTCAGCAAATACTGAACAAAACCTTTGGACCATGACAGAGATGCCCACCTCCTACAACTGAATCCATATTTCACTGACAGACGAGAGTGGTTTCAATCATTTCATTTCACTCTGAGTGAAAGTGAATGAGCTCATAGCCACCACATTTATTTTCTCTGCTAATCTCTTTACATAAAGTAAACTGATACAGCAGGTCTCTTTTTCAGTGACATCACCCCTCCCCAACAACTGAACTAAAAGGAGAAATGTTGCAGCATTCAGCTAACTGAACACATTTTACACCAGTGTTTACAGGTAATTTTACTCTGAGAAAGAGGTTTTGGTGTGTGGCTGTGCCTGATAAACAGGGAAGGGCCGTCTAATTCAGCCTGCATAAATGACATTTCTGTGCGGCAGATTGCTTGTTGATGGTAAACCATTAAGACAGTGAGTCACTGGCTCACTGGGGATGTTTTTTAAAGGAAGGCTGATACTGTCAAAGACAGGCCAACAATCCTGTCTCAGAGAAGAAGATGCTCTTGATAAAACCTGAGAGCTGATGTTTCAAGGTTGTTTGAACTCTGTCTTAATGAGCTGGACGTTTTCCAGTGGGTATTAGCATTTAGATGAAATGTGTGTTAAAGTGGTTTGGATCTTATGGACTGTCGGTGCGTTAGCCACAGCTGATTTTCTGAGAATACATGTTAGTGGATGTACATATTAGGGCTGTAGATTGAGCTTCACTACTATAAACAAATGGTCATCAATTTTTAGTTTCATCTAGTAAAAAGTGTATTCATGACTCAGTATGCAGTCTATTTAAAAAAGAAAACTATTTAATACTTAAAATCAAACTGCCACCCTGCTGTGTGTCTCGTGTGCTGATTTCATATGCTGAACACATTTGTCCTGTGGTTCTTTGCAGCTCTGGTGGTGAGATTTCTGACCAGACGCTTCATCTGGGAGTATGACCCCACACTTGGTAAGACAGCCCAAGAAACGTGTATCCCCTCCTGCTGTTACTGCCATCTCCTGTATCTGCAGAAATTGCACACTGTCAATTTTATGGTTTTATATGAAGTTCTTCTAATACATATAGTCCTTAACTAAGTTGATTATTTAAAGCTATCCCCAGGTGTAAAAAACACACAGCAGATTCCACTAATTTTACAAAGCCTAAGCCAGTTACTTGTAGAACCACCTTTAGCAGCAATAACTTGAAGTAATGGTTTTCTGTATGACTTTGTCATACAAGTGTTGTATGGCACAGGTGTCTTAAAGTCCCAGCACAGCAATTCAGTCAGTTCAAGGTCTGGTCTTTGACTGGACCATTGCAACACCTTGATTCTTTTCTGCCATGCTACCGCTAATGTGAAATCTTCTGTAACTAGCCTAGCATTACTTTTAGCTTTGTGCCCTCTTTCTGTAAGTTTAACCAATAATTGAAAGCAGGAGAAACATCTTGTTCAGGCATTTTTCCTGCATGAACCTCTCTAAAGATGACAAAATGAAAATGTGTTTGCTTTTGGCACAGCTAGGGTAATGGCTTTCCCCAGCTAGCTTCTAGCTTTTAATCTAAGGTAAGCTAGCTGCTGCTCGTTGTAGTTTTCATAGTTAGCATAGATTCATATTAGTGCTGTCAGCATTAATATCGTTAAAATAACGTTAATGCCATAACTGCATTAATGCGGCAAATCTTCGTTAGCGAGTTAACGTGGATTGCCCCGTGCGTGGGGCTGGACGGCGCTAACGCGTTGACGCCCTGCGATGAGAGATTTAACGAGATTCACGCAGACAGCACTAATATATACCAAATCTCCTCATCTAACAGGAAAAAGAGAAAATGGAAGTTCTAGGTGCAGGAGTTATATCATGGGCACTATCATTGCCAGCACAGAGCTAGCACTTTAATCTTCTGCACAAATGTTTATCTGGTGAAAACAGAATAAAAGCAATAATTGATTCATTGAAAATTCTGGGATAAAGTGCTGAAACTGCTACAACTCAGCGTAATGTAAAATTGTTGTTGGGGGGTTTCTCTTATCAGTGCATTATATACAGTAGAACTGGCCTTTTCATACTCTGGTTGAACCAGTCCTCTACATTGTAATTATGGGACACAAAGTGCCTCCTCTATAATGTGCTTTTCATTTCCTGGCTGTGCTTGGCAGGTCAGCGCCTCTGGACTGTTCACATGATGCTCCTTCAATAGCCTGCCTGTTCTTAGCAATACATGGTGCAGTACAGTGCAATCACCAACATAAAGCAGACCGCACTCAGGAGCATAATTAATCCATTTTCATATAATAACATAATGATCACAGTCATTATGGCCTCTGTGTGACATCTCAACATATGCCTGTGAGATTGCTGAGATATGTTCAGGTGCTAGACCAACAAAGAGGAAACACTTTAACGAAAGCGATAGGATTCTGGATTTCTTTTACATTTAGCATACGTGGCATTTAGATCATACTCAGCTGCCACCCATCCACATCTTACTACTTTTTTACAGTATAATGTATTGCCACTGTGCCAGCTTCATATTACACGTCTGCTGTTTAAACTCAAAGTAGGGAATGTGGTAGAAATCAGGAAAAGAGCAATAACTGCTTCCTTGGTTACAACAAGAGGTTACGTCACAACCCCTTGAGGTCTGTAATGGAAATAACAGCACCGCTGGAGGGTGTCTGTGACCAATCAGACTGCCTGGATGAAATTACCCTCAAAGTGCTCAAAACATCATTAAAACACTATTATGAGCAGATCGCACAGGTAGGGGGTTTGCATGCTGGAGAATTACTGCCGCAATGTGTTCTGCACTCCATCTATCTCAGTATGCCTTCCAGTAGCTATTGCTCACCATTCATCTCCATTTATTATCTACCTATTTATCTGGATCAGGTTTACAAACAAGCTCAGATCTTATTCCCTGCAGTGAATTGTCCCTTTTCAGCCTAGATGTACGAAACAGCCCATGCAGAGCTATCTTGTGCATCTTCAAAGGCAGATTTTATTTCAGGGAACAGTAGATTTACTGTGACTGCAAAAAATTCAGGCTTAGCGAAGACAATTTTCTGCAGGATAGTGCATATACACTGTGTATAAAGGATGTATGTTGCTGTTGTGACATCATACACTAGTTACTACTTTGTGAAGTAGTGGTTAAAAGCCTCAACTTGACAACTGTGGCTCTCCCATCGTGCATTTTCTAAGCCAGGTTTAAGGAATGATTGGTTGAATCGAGCTAAGAAACTGAGGACCATATATGGAGTTCACTTGTCTGTTACAATGTTGCACACCTTTCAGTCCACAATCAATGGGAATTCACTAGAATTCCTGTGAATTCAACAGCTTGACTTCACAATCTCAAACTGGTGATTGAAATCCTAAATTCTAATGGGATGATAAATTCTAATGTTAAAAGAGGTTAGTGTTGTGCAAGCGGATTGCAAACAGCCTTCCAATCAAGGACGTTTTTTCATTTCTTGTTTTCCCATTAACACAGACCTTCCCAAAACGGGGGGGGGGGCGCGTTATGAGAAGGGAAGAAAGGAAGGGGAAGAAAAAACAAAAGGCTTGGACTCTGCTAGCACAGGGCGCCCACAGAAATGCAAAGCAGGAGATGAAGCATCGCTGAATATGTTTCCAAACCAACTTCATTCTAAGCCAAAGACTAGAAAATATGGTGAAGCATATCTTCCCTTTGGCTTCACCTGCACAAGTGCCAAGGTAGGTCTCCCCTGCAGAATTGGTTTTCCCTTCGTGGGGAGCAGCGCTCTTCAAATCACGGACAAACAGTATCCCACAGTTGTTTATGTTTTTAAACCCATTTTGCACAGAGAGGCATTTTTTGAAAAATGCATTGATGGCAATGTTGAATATTATTACACATACAGTAAAATAATCACATCGTGACGCCTCTGCCTTTCTAAATGGAGGGACGGTAAATGCATGTGTATATGTAAGCGTGTAAAACCTGCAGATAGAGACAAAATACTGTTAATCTGACTATCTGCCATTCTGCAATTCATCTCATGTAAACAATAACGTGGCGCACAGCGTGACGTGAAAAAAGGCACATACCTTTGACGTTGCGTGACGAACTCTGTATTCTTCGTCCACACGTAAACGGGAAAAGGAGTTTTAAAAAAATCTCCGTTTTCAGTGATTTGAAACGCCGTTTACATGTGGACGAAACGGCTGCATGTCCAAAAATACCCCTGTAGGCATGGACGTAGAGTTAGTAGTTAGTAGAGTTAGTAGTTTACATTCTTACTACCTGTAATTTATTGCAGGTTACTTGTATTTTCCTAATTGTTTACTAAATGCTTGAGGTGTGAAAGAAACCGCAATGGAGCAAAATATGGGTGTGTGTGGTTGGAGGATGCGTGCGTGCGTACGCGCGAGAAGGGGGGCGCGAACATTTTTTCTTGTAAAACAAAGGGGGGCCTAGCAAAAAAAGTTTGGGAACCACTGCTTAACACATTAAATTCATATTCTCAGAATCATGTAAATATACGAACATGTGGGCATCTCCAGATATGATCAGTACTTGAATGAAGAATGAGTGTGCTTGTGTACCTGCGCGCGCGCACACACACACACACACACACACACACACACAAGTTTACACTTGAGTGTTCTTGCTGTTGTTGTGTTCGTGTTGGATATGATGTGATGTGAATGAGGAAGCATACATCTGACTGAAACTGCACACTCATTAGCTAAAAGACTAAACTAAAGTCCAAAAGGGCTAATTTTATGAATTAATACTTTTTCAGCTCTTAACTTAGCCCATCGTCTGTGTCAGCATGCTTGTAGTGGGAAAAAACTGTGAGTTCTGATAACTAAGAAAAAAAGCACTTTTTGCATTCGCTGCATTTTTTAGCTTTTACATATAAAAAGCCTGCACATCCAAAGAAAGAAAATGTGTGGCAAGAATTTAATCTCTTTTTTTGCCCTATTTCATCTCTAGTTAAGGAACCAATCATTGAAGAGAATTAAAAGATGCAAAAACAGGGGTAAAAAAAAAAAAACCCCAAAAAACGTGCAGATCTCTGTATGTTTAAATTCTCGGCTGGTAGCAACAGAGACTGAGTTTGCAGAAACACTACATGGCTCTCATTCCCAGCAGCACAATGGGAACCAACAACACTTCAGACTGCACATGGCCACAATATTGCAAAAGTTATTTCTGTCTCTGCACACCGTCTGGTTACAGATTCTAATCTCCTTTGGCTCACAGAAATTAATTGTGTGCTACCGCGACTGTGGTTTGGCATGACAACAGCAGCTCTGCTTTATATTATATCACACGGCTTTTTTGCTTGCTCATGCTCTGCACCATTTTCTCTGGTTTGTTGGAGCAATTTATGGAAGCGCACACTGACAGAGTTCATCAACAAACTGGATGGTTTTCAGTGTCGACACTGAGACTTTTTTTCCCTGCCTGATCCCAAAACAGTGTAAAGCAGCTGTTTGCACTGTCATTTTTGTTTCTTCCCAAGACCCTTACAGGTTCAGTACAGGTTCACTAAAGAAGTGGACATTGCTAAACAACATCAGCACTCTGAGAAGATGCAGCAGCAGATCTCAGAGAATGACTCGGCCTCTGTGTGGAAAGGTTTTAGGAATATCACCAACTACAAGCCTAAAACCCCCCACTCCACTGATGACTTGCTCTTGGCCAACACCCTCAACGACTTCTACTGCCGTTTTGACGAGCCATCAGGCAGCCTTCACACCTCCAACGGCCCCAACAATAGAGGCACTTTGGACACTAATTCCCCCACCTCTCCCCCCTCCATAGAGCCATCACCACCTTCAAACTGTTCACCTACAACACCCCCCTCCTCACCCCACACAAAAGAGGATTTCACACCACCTCCTCCCACCACAACTCTTCATATTCATGAAGCAGGTGTGAGGAAGCAGTTTAAGAATCTGAATGCTCGAAAGCTCCCGGCCCAGACGGTGTGT